TGATATTTTTGCAATATCTTGGGATGATCTACAAAAATCAGCCAATTACTATTTAAAAAATGAGTAAAGATCTGCAAATAAAATTTAGTTTTCTTAAAACGAATACGTATAATTAATAAATAGATAACAATAATAATATATACTATAAACTTTATTTAATACAGTATATTACATAAATTTATTTTTTTGTTAGATTGATAGAAAAGCAAGTTGATAACTATTTACAGTTATTATATATTATTGTACATACGTACGTACGTATGTATTTTTAATGTTAAAAAATGAGCCATATATAATACACTTTTTGCAAAACAATAAAATTAGTAATTTTTTATACTGTTGAAATATCTGAAATATCTACTGTAAAAACCAGTTTAAAATTAATAACAACTATTAAATAAAAGAAAAATCAGTACTTTGGATTCGAACGTAAAATCTTTAAACCGAAAATTTTTTATAAAGAATGACTTCTCCTGTTAGTTCTATCACACGTTTATCAAACGAAGTTCTCGTAAAAATATTTAAATTTCTAAAGAGTAATTACAAAAATAATTGCAAAAACTTATTTTTATGCCTTCTTGTAAACCGTATATGGTGCAGAAACATTGTACCGATGTTATGGCATATACCTTGCTTTAAAAATACAAAAGTTATTAAAATCTATTTCTTAGAACTAAATGCTAATGAACAAGCACTGTTGTTCCCTTTTGAAATTGACTTTCCAGAAAATAATCCAAAGCTATTATTTGAATATGCAAGCTTTATTTCTTCTATCAATGGTCAAGATTTGAGCTGTGGAGTACTAAATTTTCTTAAATGCGAAGAAAGCTATCTTGTAATAGCTGCTAAATGTTTCTTGATTTAAATGTTTCTAAGAAAAAGCAAGAAACTTAAAGATTTAAATCTTTACTATAATAACCTTAGTTCTTTTGGAGGAAATACGGTAGCAGTGATAGCCGATGCACTTTTCAAAAATGACAGTTTAATTTATTTGAATATTTCATCTAATCAGCTTGGCTTTAGTGAAACAAGAATGTTAGCAAATTCTCTTTACAAAAACAATACTTTAATATTTTTTGATCTTTCAAATAATAACCTTGATTTGTTGAGAGGAAACGTACTAGAAAATGCTCTTTGCAACAACAACACTTTGACTTTTTTAGATCTTTCAAATAATGATCTTGGTTTATTGGGAGGAAATACATTAGCAAATGCTCTTAGCAATGCACTTCACAAAAATAATAGTTTAACTTTTTTAAATTTTTCATATAATGACCTTGCAACTAATTCTCTTCACGTTAACATGACTTTAACATCACTGATATTTACTGATATTTACAATTAATGTAGTCCTGAAGTAAATGGGAAATTATATGAAATAATTGATAAAAGAATGGTTGGAATTAGATTGGGTATCCGATTAAGAATGCCAATTACTGTTAGTAATTAAGAATTTTGGCATTAAGACTTGTTTTGTTTTACCATAAATATCAATTAGAATTAATCTATAAGTTGCTATCTCACTATAGCAGTCTATTAAACTTTCTTACTCATTAATAAAGTCTATAAATAAGGTTTTTTGACCAATGATATTTTCAGCTTTACAGAATTAGGCAAACATAGTTTATTATTAAAACTAATAAAATAAAAGATAAGATACCATGATTTGTTCTAAGCTGATATTAAATTAGTTGACATTATGAATACCATCATATAGGTAATCATAGCTAACAAATTTGATAAATCTTAAATATTCAGAAGAGCAATTTTAAATGGAATTAATATGGCTTGCTCTTCTGTATTTAATATTAGAAGTAATGTCTTAATAAGTCTTATGCCTTTAAACTGGTGTCTTGGTTCACCCGTTTACAATTTACAAGAAAGTATGAAAATAAAGTTTTGTAATCGTTCTAAGGTATTCAAATATTTTTACGATAACTTTATTCGAACTATAAACTTATTTAATATAGAATATTAAACTCGAGACTAAAGTATATTGAACACATTAATAATCTTTATTAATATAGTATTGAATATTAAAGAAGCAAAAAAGAACTCAAGAAGTGATCAAGAATGATAAAATTGTGAGATTTTGTCTATATTGTTTATTTTACTACACAAAAGCCCTTATTATTATATTAAAGCATATTAAAAAGAACTTTATTTATATTCTGAACAACAATATTTAGAAGCCCAAAGATAGTTTACTAAGTAAAATTTTGACTTTTATATGTAGCAACTGTTTATGATTTTTTTAAGATTTTCATATACTAGTCTTGACCAAAATGAATTTAATGCGATTAACGAATCATGAAAAGTTCTAAAGATCACAGCAACGAATTATATTATTTTGTAAAAATCATAGTAAAGTTATTTATTTTTGCAAATGACAATAAAGCAAATGACTAATTGAAAGAACAAAATTAAATTCAAATCAAATAGATGTAAGGAAATTTTTAAAGCATGATATTTGAATTTAAGAAATGAAATTTATTTCATTATAAAGCAAAGTTCAAGAATTGGGAGCGAATCGCTATTATTATTATTATAAATAATATAAATGGATTGAGTCTCAAGAAATATTTATAAACCAATATTTATAAACCAATCTTATATAATACTTCTGTTTTTTTATAATTGCTTACAACTCCGAAAACAGCATTATTATTTTTGTATTCTTTAAGTTAATCAACTAGACGTTTATGCTTCAAGAGTAAATTACGATTCAGTCCTTCAGCGTTATTAAATACATTACCCTACTGGAAGTTATGCTTTGAGAAATTATTTTTTTGAGTCTCAGAGCTAATCGAAGTGCTAACGATTTTATAATTTTTAATTTCATTTTTCAAGCGCTTAATGTCTTCGACCAATTTAATATTTTTTTGATTGTTTCCTTTTAAAGCTATAAATAAATAAATATAATTCATTAGATGCATTAGGAATTTGCTATTTCTGTTTAATACCAGTTTATAGAAATAAAATCATATTCTTACTTTGGTTGAAAACCAAGTACTGATTAGCATTTTTGAAAGACATTATTACAAAAAATCTCAGTCTAATAAATTCCTAGATAAATAACAATAAATAATGAGTTTTTATAAACTAAAATAGCACCGAATTCTGCTGCATATTATTTATGTAATAATCTATACTAGCTAAATTCTATTCGTATTTTTTTAAAAAGATTATTATCTAGATATTCAAGAGAAAGATCTTTCTTGTAAGGAAAAAGAAAAGAGGTGAACGAGCGAGCTAATTTATCAGATTTCAGTTTGATGAAGTCTGTATAAAAAGATAAATGTGTATCAGGTGTATTAGACATCGGACCCATCATCATTCTATTATTAGATATACCGTAACATAAAATAATAAACAATATAATTTAATATCCTTAGCATTAAATCTTTAAAAAACAAGTTTAAGAAATATATAAGATCTGCAATATACTATATATATAGTAACATATATACTAGTTTACTATGCATAATATAGTGAAAATAAAAACTTGCTTTCCCAATAGTAATATGAGATATATATAGAGCTAATAATTCTTACAGTATTGAGCATATATACTATTGATATATATTGAATAAAATTAAAATTACTAAAACTCATCAGGGCAGTTTTTGATGTTTGATAAGATTTTAAAATTCACAATGATTCAGTATTCACCATATCTAATTTCAAAGAAGATCAAAGTTTCAGGTTCAAGTTCGAAGCTTTGGAAAGAGAAGTTGTTTCTGTTTTAATCGATAGCGATGAAGTTAAAAAAATAGAAAGCAAAATTCTTGACAATATTATTATAGAATCTAAAAAATGGCTTTATCTTAAAAAAACCGAAACTATTGGATATTATCTGAAGCTTTCTAAACTATTAGAAGAAATCGAAGAAGAAGATAACAAAACTAAACTTCACGAGATAA